AATCCCAGGTGTGTGGTCTGATTTCTCTAAAATCTGTACTCGACGGACACAGCTGCCCCAGTGTTCTTAAGTCCAAAGCTGATCTTTTGAACTTTCTTTGGCTTTTTCTCTGAATCCCGCAGATGGAAGTTATCAGCAGACCCGATTTCTGGGTTTTCATAAACCGGTGGTTAATTTTTGAAGTCTCAGGTCAGTCACGCTGGCTGATCATAGAAGATCGCCAGGTCTCTGATTGTGGTCCCCCAAACAAGAACAAATAAGGTGGCAGTGTCACTGAAATGGTTCTTAAGAAGAGAGAAACCCTTACCAAAATAGCTAGCGGGAGGCTGCTTCTGAAATTGCAAGGTGTGCTTTACTGGCCAGCGTAGGAGCGAGCTTGACCTGGAGTGATCGAAGATGGGAGAAGTTGGGTAGAAAGGGGATACAGTTCCTGCAGTCTAGCGTCTCGCTTACCTCCTCTGGTCCTAGTTATGTGCTGGGCGCAGCAAGAACATGAGGTTTCCTTTCAACTTGTTTCTTTGAGTATATTCCAGCCTTGTTTTAGTTGCTTTGCCAGGCTCTGGTGGGTCAGAAGCGCGTGCCTTAACAGCTGCACAGATACGGCTACGTGACAAATTCGAAGGTGAAGTTTGTTATGGTGGTGGATTCTTCAAACACAGCACTTCGAGACAATGAGATCCGCAGTGTAAGTGCAGGAAATCAGAGCACAATTTGCTACATCAGTGTTTTTGCTACTTCCGCTTATTCATAAAGTGCTGAGAAGCAAAAAAAAAAATTAATTAAACTACAATCCCTTTTCAGATGTTCCGAAAACTGCATAATTCGTATACGGACATAATGTGTAACCCTTTTTATAACCCTGGGGACTGTATCCATTCCAGGTAAGCGGGTTGACCGTACCGATCTTTGTCATCTTTCTGGAACTTGCAGTGTGCCTATGATGTAATAGGACCAAGAGCATATACCCCTGTGGTCGACCGGTTCGGATGTGCATGCTCTAACCGCCTAAATGGAAAACAGCTGTCTGGTCTGTGGGCCATTACCGCATAACGGAAAACTCTGATCAAAGTCTCATGAGAAGTTACACCGAACTCTCACTCCCACCTCAGAACTGGTGTTTGAAACATTAGCTCAAGAAAAGTGATTTCTTGGGGAGGAAAAGTTACTTGTTTCATAGGCAAATGTGAGCATAAACATAGACAAATAGAGCAGGTTAAACAGTGAACAACTGCACTTGTCCAGGGCTTATCCTTGGGTAAGGACAGACGGGCATTCAGCACGCCTAATTCCTCACAAGTGAGGGCCAGCACCCCCCATTTCTCATCTGGAATCTCACAGGGAATGTTAATAATGTTGGGAGTTTCTATTGCCTAGGGAAGAACAACTTCTTTTACACTTTGCTGAGGCAGGTCTACAGCCAGGATAAGACCTGTCCTTACTTCAGCTTAATTAAAAGTCATTATTTACTCAACAGAGCATGCTGTAGTTAAAGAGTGAAACCATGTATTCAGCCTGGGGAAATCCAGCTTGTTAACCAGGAAGAGGCATCGTTAGCCATTGGTTTTGTTACAGGAGATCTGCTGTGCAGAACTAGCCGCTTCCTTTAATATTGTGTGTTCATTTCCTTCTCTAGGGCTTTTGATAATATGGTGAACTCCATGATGATGCAGGTGTGCTGAGGCTCTGCCCCTTCTCATCTTGAGTGCTGAGAACATTCCCCGTGTACAGGAGCGTGCCTGCAAAGTGATGTATATATTGTCTTCATTCTGTGTAATATTTTAAATTTATTCTATGTAAAATAAACTCGACACCTGCAAGGTCTGCATGCGTTTCTACTCTAGCCAGCCTGAGTATAGCACAGAAGTCACTGTTCAGCTTTCTGCCTTCAGGTAGGTGTGAGAGCCAGCTCTTCCTTCAGGAAGGTCAGCAGTGTTGGGAGGTTTGTTCCCTACAGAAACGTGTGCAGCTGTGCCCCTGCACAACTCAGATGTTTCTGTAGGAATTGGGCTTTGTGTGAAAACAGCAGTTCCTGCTGTGCTTGTGATTAGAGCAAGCACAGCTGCACAAGAGACAGCTAAGAGATTATTATGAGGGTCAGCCTAGATTTCAAGTCAGATGAGAGGCACAGATAGTGACACTGTTCCTCAGAAGTACTGGTGCATCAGAGCAGTTCCTCTGAAGCAGGAGCAGCACATCAGCAACAGTAGTCCTTTTGCTCTTTGCCAGCCCCCTTCACTGCTCAGGACCGTTCATTCCGACAGGAACATCACAAGCAATGCTTAATTCAAACTCACTTGGGCTCCTTGTCCTGTTTTTCCTTAGCTGGGAGCACTCAGATCTGTATGTACTTACTCCGTTAGTTCCTGGAAAGGGAAAGCCAAAGGCTCCAGGTTTCTCTGCAACCCCAGCCATTGTTTATGTACTTGAGAAAGCTCCAGCAGACAGCAAACAGCTGGTCTCAAAGCACCACCTTGAACCCGATCAAGCCCTGCACTGATCTTGCGTTCCTGGGGAAGATCTTTGGGTGACTCCCATTCGACAGTATTTGCTGTTAGCAGTTTGCACCTCAGTCAGACAGGCCGGGCACGCTTAACAGCATTTCTAGCCCAGGTCAGGGAGCACAGGTAGTGCAGCTGGGATAAATCCACACCAAGAGATTTCAGAGGTGAGGATTGCACAGCTGCCTGGCTCATCCCAAACTAATCTCTATTAGCATCTCCTCCCCCTGCAGCTCCCTGCTGTTCTAATTAAAGACTACCAAATCAATAGCAGGTATTTATATAGAAAAAAAATACGAGCTAGACTAGAAAAGCATCCCAGCTTCTTCATCACTTGTGCAGTGCGCTCGCGCTATGCAAGGCTGTGCGGCTGCAGCAAGTTCCGCAGAGGTGACGCAGGCAGGCGTAAGCACTGAGCACCGCTCGGTGCTTTTCGTGCACCTCTACTCCGAGTCTTTCCTGCCCCACAGGCAGCAGTCTGTGCTTCAAGCACCTAATCGGTTAAAAAATACATAAAACATAGCTAAAAATACCAAAAAAAAAAGCGCTGCACAGCTCCAAAGGATACAAGAAGCCCGGAGAAAGCCAGGTCAGCGTAGAGCGTCAGCGCGCAGCCAGCGCAGCCTCACTGCAGATGAAGTTCACACAGCAGGATCATTTATTTTAAAAATAAGTGAAATTTACAGTACCTTCTCAAACAGAACTTAAATACATTTAATCAACAACAACCTGTCAAATGATGGGAGATGAAAGCATCTGAGCTTCTCCCACCATCTAAACAAGGCACAGCTGTACACTGCTATTCCAAAACATTTTCATATAAAAATCTTCACTCTTTTCACTCAGAGACAGGAGCTCAGCATTTCCTCTTCCACGAGAGACTCCGAACACCCCAAAGTAGTTTTTGTTAAAAATCTAAGTCTCAAGAATTTACAAAGCTACTAAATGGAAAGTTTAAAGCCCTAGAAAAAGCCAGTTTTATAGCCTAAGCCTGAGGGTAGCTCGCATCAAGACCGGCCTCAGCAGCAGAGTCCACGCCGGGCAAAGTGCAAAGTCAACACAACATGAAGAGTTAAGGCCCCAAACTCTAAAAAAAAAAATCCTGAGATCTTAAGGGGGGGAAGGGGTGGGGGGAAATCAGTGGGATTTTTAGCCTGGCAATGCCCCCTGAGCTGTGAAAAGCTGCTTTAGGAGTCAGTCGCATCTGTTGCATCTGGGTTAGAGGAATCCTAACCAAGGATCCCGAAAAGATTAGCGTGAGAATTACGTAATAAAGCCGATTTCAACGCAGAACTTCACACGGTAACGCTGTCTGCTGGCATTCGCAGCCTGCCTCTTTTAACACAAAGGTTTTCCTTTAAAAACGAGCGGTTTCAGAGCTCATAAACACGAGATCAGCAGGA